CACCTGCTGGTCTCATGTATCTAGCTGTTACTGCTTTGCTTTGAATGTTGCATAGTATGGCATTAATCTTAACTATCTTGCATTTATTCAGTTACTAAGGAAATGCCTCAAAAACATGCATTCTTACTGTGAGCGGGATCGCCTCTCCACAGATTTAAAGAGACAAGGTTAAGGTACACTTGAGCCATTGTCAGATAATTGAAGGCAAATTTAATGCCACACTTTGGAACATTCCAGTTAGCAATAATATCTCTATGGAGACAAACAGGTGGCGTTCCCTCAGAGAAGTTACCTTTAAAGCCCTCTTACTGTGTTAGGTGCGTACCAGTACTTACGAACGTGTTAAGCAGGTATGAAGTATGTAGGTTATATATTTTTGCAGTGTTGTTGATATTAGTTACATGTATATAACCTATGGATGTAGAAATAATAGTGGTTGTTCATAGACTTATTGTATCCAGTGTTATAAAACATTTTTTATTCATGTATTTTTTATTCTATTTATGCCCGTGTGTTTATTAGACTGAACGTTGGTGCATTTCAAGATGACATCCAGTAGGCCTATTGTGTGTTCTGATTGGATTTAACATAAAGCTCTTGTCACTGCCAAAATATTACAAAAATATACACAATCAGTTTAGAATTATACACAAAAATGGTCCAATTATTTTTTTTTCATTGCATTTTTACTTTTGTGAAAAGTTTTTTGCCTCTTTTGTAATCCTACAAATTCACCCCATAACCGGTAGCCTCTGTAAACTTTTTTTTTTTTGCGTACTTGCTGCAGTTTGACTTGTGTTAAACGTTACCTGGACACGAGCACGGCGGAATGCAAGCTGCAGTTTGACTTGTGTTGTGCAAAGAGGAGGAGCTGACTGTGCACACAAGCCCGTTTGCTCAGGCTAACATCAAATCGCATCCTGTTCACAAACGTTTTCACAGTAGCTCTGAAATATGGAGGCAAAGATTGTAAAACCTCCTGAGCGTATTTGGGCCTTGTTGATAGGACTTTTTTGCTGTGTACTCATTGAAACTAACTCTTCCTATTGAAATGAATGTAGCCCAAATATTAGGATGTGCAAAAATCTCACCTGGTCCGGGAGTTGATCTTTGGACCCTCTTGGTGTGAGGCAAAAGTGCCAGCTGAGCCACTGTGCGTGAAGTCGTCCCTTAAAAGATGCACTGTGTAACTCTTCTGGAGAGCATGCCCCGGCTGCTTGTCTCTAAGGAGATGATTTCTTTGCCTAAACATTCCACAGTCAATTTATTAGATAACACCACCCGACCAAGTTACAGTTCAGATCTGTGGAGAGGCAACCCTACTCACAGTATGAATTGCTGTTTTATGTAGAACAGAAAAAGAAAAACAGAAAAAAAAACACAATGCTACATAGTGGAACATAACACTGACAAATCACCTGAAAAGATCCATAGTACGTCTTTAAGTCCCTGCACTGCCATCTGATTCATTCTGTTCTTTGAATGTGACTTTTTTAGTGTCGATATCTGCTCTAATGAGTAACTAGTTTTGATATTGGACTCGATTAGTATGTGAATTTCGGCAACCCTATTTTGACAAATCTATGTGCTAATAGCCATATTGTATGGTAAAAGCTACTGCTACTAGCCTCATTTAAACTGCAACACTTTCCATTCTTGCCAGCAGAGAGTGCACAAACTCTTGGAGCACTTTCTTGTGGACGATTTTCTCTTACCTATTTCTTGACATGAAACAGCAGAGGAAAGATATTTGAAGGTCCTACATTGTGCAAAACTGACTCATGTGAGCTTTAAGCCATGTTATAATGTTGTTACTTCCAGTGGTGGAGTTAGCAGTTCGGGGGCCCTCACTATAATGCACCGTTTTTCTGTTTTGTCTTGTTTTTTTAATATATTTACTGTCAGTTTTTCCCCATTGTTCTTGAGACATGCACATCTATTTCTTTGATTTATGGTGGATTTGAAACTTGTGTTATTAGTTTGGTCGCCTACTAGATAACCAGAACTGAAATTAGTTTTATTTTTGTGCTAGCACAATTACATTTTGTTTACATCCATTACATATGATTATTATTATTTTTTTTTATGATTATTGTTTAAAAGTAAAATACTCTCATTTAATGTCATAATGAGAGAAAATCTAATTGCTCTAAAGACTCAGCAATTAGTGGCACTGAGGGCAATTGATTGGGGGCCCCTCCAGGTTTCGGGGCCCTAAGCAGCTGCCTACTTTTGCTTAATGGTACCGCAGCCTCTGGTTACTTCCTCAAAAACACCTGGAGTTGTGTTTTGTTTCATTCACACATAAGTTATCCTAAATCATTAGGCTGTCTTCATCCTAAAGCTGAAAATGCTCTGTTCCACCTTGTGATGTCATTTAGTGGTCATATTTAAGCCTCAATTTAACTGCTTTATTGTTCAATACTGTGGAATAATCTTAAGTTGTTGCTTTTATTTTTGAATATTTCTAATTTAATTTTGAGATTGTCAGTAGAAAGTCTTTAATATCTGCTAGTGCGCCGAGAAATGAAGCAGTTTCAATGAGGCTAAAACAATAGTTGTAAATGTAAAGATTGGCAAATCTGGTGCTCAAAAAGATTCTAGTGAAGGTGTATGGAGTTTAAAAACACAGTGGAACATTTACTGTATCACCACTTAATGACATCACAAGGAGGAAGAGTGAAAAAAAAAACAGTCTAAATATGCAGGATTTGTGTATCAAACATTTATGAATGAAACTAAACACAACTCCAGGTATGTTTGTGATGAGGAAACAACATTATAACGTGCGATATAGGACCTTTAAAATAAACAAAAAACAAACTGACCAAAGCAGATATGTGGGATATTTCTCCTTAAAACACATAATTTCTGTGTAACTCAGATGAAGTTTTGTCCACTCTCCTCGTGCCTGGGCGTCTTGTGACCGGAGCGCACCCTTTACTCAGACGTATCCCGACGCACATCAGGTTAAGAATAGACATGAAAGTAGTGCCACGGACGTCAGCAGTCGGTGTCCATGAATGCATCGCTTGTGGAGGGCAAAAATAGTCCCACTGTCTACTTGTGTGGCTAATGCAATCTGAACAATTAACCCAAAACTGAGGAAAGACACTGTAATCGGGTTGAGTGGTAATAGAGCACTAGTGACAGATAATTGGCTTGGTATGTGGAGACCTAAAATGGGACTAAACACCAAATCAACTTTTCTTTGCTCCTAAACTGTGTACGTGGGGTTTTAATAACATTGTCTCCTCCCCCTCACTCTCTTCTTTAGTCGTACAGGTACTGCCCAGTTTAGCAGCTCTATTTTAAATGTGGTTGTGGGCGGAGTTTACTTTGAGGAACTGAAAAACAACCAACCACATGAATAACAATAGGCAACCTAAAAATACAAGTAATGTCAAATATCAAAATAACTAGGCTAAATGACTTTTTCTCTTTAAAGGGGCACTGTGTAACTTTTTTCACTTCCTTGTTCCCATGGATATGTCATTGCTCTGCCTTGAATGTTCCGCAGTATGACATTAAACAGCTCTACATTACATTTGTTAAATTACAGGTGGATTTATAGCTCAAAAATCCCTAAAAACAGACATTCTGACTGTAAGCAGGGTTGCCTCTCCACAGATCTGACCTCAAACTTTGTCTGGTTTGGGCTCCATGGAGACCGAAAGATATAATATCAGTCTGTGAAACATTCCACACGAAGCAATAACATCTCATCTCAAGCATTTGATGAACTCTCCACCAGAAAAGTTACACAATGCACCTTTAATTCTTAGTTTTAGTGTACTTTTTTTTGCATTTATGTGTTTTTTTTTAAGCAGTGAAAGGTTTGTTACCTGCCTTATCTCCATGATGTTATTTCCTTGCCTGGAACATTCCACAGTGACATTAAACTACCTATCTCCATGGAGACAAGCAGCTCAAGAATGCTAGGTCTTCACGGTTTTCCAAATTCTCTTACCTACACACAAGTAATTAAATAAATGCAAGACAGATTAGTTAATTGTGGAACATTTAAGGCATTAACATCTCTATGGATACGCAGTGGGAAAAAAAAAAAAAAAAAAAACACCAGAAAAATGATGTAGCTATTGCCCCTTTAATTTTTAATTTGATGACTGATATATTTGCCGATATAGTTTCAGATATATTTTCATTTCATTTTTATCTCTGCAGGATTTCCATAGAGTGCAAATGTGATGTGAACAGTCTGTGTGCTGGTAGGGGTGCGTGTTAATGTTTTTGTTCCTTCCAGGCCACCATACCTCCTCTCTACTGTATCATAGCTAACATTTATATCAGCATGTTTATCGCATATACATTCAGTGTTCTTATAACCATATTTTGTATTGATGACAACGTGAATGTACTCTTTGTAGCAGAAGTAAAGCCGGTTTGGGAATGGAAACCTAATAAAAGATAAGAGCAAAGCATTTTATTGTGAGTGGTTTGTTTTGGTCGGAACATGGAAGTGCAGACGACACTGTGGTCAGGTTTTATCAGAGAAAAGTAGTAAAAGGCCAAGAATAGTCCCAATAGTTTAACCACATTTGAACACATGGAATACCAGGGAGATGAGATGAAACACTTTAAACCAGGAGAGACACATCAGAATATGTTACAATGAAGAAGGACCATTTAGACCAGGGGTGTCAAACTCATTTTGGTCCGGGGGCTGTATCCAACCTACTTTGATCCCAAAGGGGCCGGATCAGAAAACTCACAGCATATATACCTCAAAAATAACAATAAGTTCAAATATTTGTGCAGAGAAACGCAAATCTATTACAGATATCTTTTTTAATTGATGAACTCTTTCTTATTATAATATTATAATATTAAGAACAACCTGAAACTTTAAGAAAAATTTAATTTCAACACAATGTTTTAACATGAACTTGTATGCAAATAAGAATAAGTCCATTTATCTTGGAAAATCCTGCACTCGGCGTCCACTTTTCTCATTTTGGACATTTTGTTGATGAGGGTGTCACGGTCAACAGTCAAAACAATCGTCCTTTAAGAGCGTTTGAAAAAAGACAAGTCTTCATTTGTCCTGCTCTGGTGGGAGGGGCCACGTACAGAGGCGCTGGAGACGCTGCTATGCTCAGCACCGCAGAAAATTACCAATATTTTAATAGAAAATATAATTAAAATACACACATTAAAGGTCTTTTAGGGCCGGATCTGGCCCCCATGCCTTATGTTTGACACCTGTGATTTATACCAATATATCATTTCTAAACATAAGCCAGCACTGCACCTAACCAATCAATATTTGATAAATGAATCCAAGTGTTAACAATGTTTTGAGATATTTTGTTTATTATTTTGGTGTCTTCTCTAAGCCTCAGAAATCACTGTTTCAATTTTCACTTCCCTTGGACCCAGAATACACAATACTTTCTGAAGATATGAGTCTCATCACCATTGAATCTCCCTGAGTTCAGGTGGGCGTGAGCGACAGGTGGGTCAGGGACAAGCAAGGTCAGTCTATATCAAAACAAATATAGATGCTTATGAGGAGAAAAATATCACACATCATTGACAGACATCACAGACTTCTGCTGGATCAGTGAGCGAAGCCCAAAAACCTGTTCATCTGATAATTTTGTTCAAAATGACAGATCAGACAAGTCTGATTACATGATCACATTTGTTTCTGGCTCAAGACACGGCGGAGTGCGGGGACCAGAAATATCAGACAGATATCAGTCAGTCTGCATTTTTTTTTTTTGCATCAGAATTTTGAATATTAGTCCAGCCTTGAGTTGTTAAAACACGGTTAGGACATGGTTCATTGTTAGATTTAATAGCTTGTCTGAAATAGAATTTTTTCTGGTTTAATGACCTATTTGGCAGGTTCCAAGATAATATACAGTAGCTTGCAATAAGAGTCATATTTTCACCATATAGTCAAATAATTTGTCTTGAAATAAGAACTGTGTTGAAATAAGTAAATTATTTCATAATGAGGTCCATCAAAGAAATGCATCATAACTAATCAAAACAAAATCAAAATATGATTAATATTTTGCTTTTAATTTAACTAATCTTCACCTACTTACAGTTATAATCATATCAGAGTCCAGAGTCTTTCAAAATCACAAAGAATTCACAATTCATTTAATCAGCAGCAAAAGAGGAATGTCTTATACAGCATATAAAAATATACACTCAGACGTACAATCCATACAGTAGTGATGAGACACAGCCTAGTGTTAATAGAGAGTATTTGCTCTATGTAATATTAAACGTTAATTTATCTCTGATGTCCTACTATACTCTTCATAAAGTATACTCTCAATTACAATAAGAATTTTTATCTCACTATGTACACTGCAAAAACAATGTTAAAATCATCAGGAATCAGTTGTTTTACCAGCTTAAATGCATTTACTCCTATTGATAACATAAGACTTTGACATGAAATATTCAAAAGGTAAATTCACAAACCTGATCATTTCTATTAGTAACTAACCCCAACAGTGTGTTACCACAAAAATCTGCATTTTAACAATATTCATTTGAATGTTGTGAAGTCATTTAAAACCCAGCAATCTAGTTTAGTATAAATAAGAAAACAAATACTTACAAACTTACTCTATTACTTTGGATGTGACTTTTTACAGTGGACAAGTGGTCTCAATAACAAGTCCATAGCATAGCCAAAGCCTTCGCAGTGGTTTTCAAAGAAGGGATTCCTACAGCAGCTGACTATTTTACCCATGGTGCCCCAGTCCAGCACACGCACACAGGACAGAACGGCTGATTGGTCAGACACGAGGAGTAGAGACGTCCTCAATGGAGCAGATTCTGTTCACCTGCAACAAAACAGACAGGATTTAGAAGACAGAAGCAGGCCACATTTCACCAAGTTTATGTAAAAAGTCGTTTGAATTTTGAAAAGATAAAAAGAAATTGTATGTAACTTATTACACACACTAAAAGCTGCCATCTGTAATCAAATTGGCTGACCCACCCCTATTGTATTCTTACACAACACCACTAGATGCTATCTACATTACAGCTGTCTGGTGAAGAAAAGAAATCATATAAACTTATAGATGGTTTTAGTGTATTTTGATTTTAAATTCCATGAACATTACCTAACTGTACCTAAAAAGTGAAAAAAGGGAGACGCAAGGAGAGAGAAGCAACTTGCCAAAGGACGTAACAACAGAATAACAGACATCACTTCTGTATCTCAAACTACAGAGCTCCTGTTTGAAGTGTTGCGTGGGCCTCTGCAGTGAGTGGGGCCTAAAGGAATGCCTGGTAAACAGGACACTGGGTTTCCTGGAGGAAGAGGCTGACTGTGGAACAATGGAGGAGGGAAGGGTGCAGCCGTGTATAAACAGCACACTCACAGTTCTGCTTCTGTAACAGTCTGGTTCTTCAACAGCTCCTTTGTGCCTCCACACCTGATGGGGACTTTCACCACTCGCACTTTAGATTTCAAAATGCTACAGAAGTCATTGCTGTTTGGTGTTTTGGTTCATTATATAACTACACTCTAGATAAATAGGATTGTGCGAATTGTTCTAATTTGTATAATATATTTTCAAATTGATTAACTGAATTGAATGCCCAGCACTACTTGCACTAGTATTAAGTACTCCTTTTAGTCCTTCAGTCTTCCAGGTACTGCCAAGTTTAGCAGCTCTATTTGAAATGTGGTTGTGGGCAGAGTTTAGGTGTTTAATCACACTTTAATGCTACTCTACAAGATTGCAGTCATGACAATGGGCATGTCAAATAGAATGCAAATTTAAAATTCAATATCGCCACACAAACTGCCACTGTCTGACCTGTACTTGACATCAAAGAGCGTGGAGTCATCATCTTCCTCTGCGTCCTGGTTCAGAGGGGCCATCTCCACTCGCTCACCTGGCGTCGTGATGATGTCATATTTCCGCGTTTTTCGGATCCGCCTGCCTGACCTGAAGAAAGTAGACATGCTTAAGTTCACTGCATGAAAGGATTATTTTATTTTTTATTTATTTCATATATTAGAAATTAGATGTTATGTATTTATTTAATTTACTTCTTTAAGTTTGGACAATTTAAATTCAAATTCTGACCACATTATTAAATACCACTATAATGGCTTATCTTGTCACTTTGCCTAATCCACAGTATGGTATTATTATAACTTATATGTCTCCATGGAAACAAGCAGGTGACACCCCCAGGCCAAGTTACAAATCAGATATATGCAGAGGTGAGTTCATACACAAAAACAAATGAAAACCTGTATTTGAATAAATACTACTACTTCTAAAAACTAATACTAATGTTTAATGCCATTCAGTACAAAATTCAGGGAAAGCAATAATGCCTCCACAAATACTAAACTAAGTCCACCAGAAAACTGACCCTTTAAACAACCATACAAAACAAATGCAGCAAATAAAAGTGTTGAAAATGCTTAAAAGATGTATGGCATTAAACCTGTCAATCTTCCTTCTTCTCTGAGACAAGTTGGTGATGCAACAGGGCCTCATCATGGGTCAGATGTGTGGTGAGGCAATCTTACTTAATGTGGGATGTGTTCTTCGAGGTATACTTTCAGCAAAAAGAAACACACATCCAATGAAATACGTGCAAGATAGATACCGAAGAACATTCTAAGTAAAACAATGATATCTCCATGGAAACAAGAGCCCTCACTAGAAAGGTTACATAATTGTCCGTTAAAGGTTTGACTGCAGCACACATACGAGGCTCAGAGTCGACCTCAGTCGTGTGAGATTTATTCTAAAATGTGCCTTGCCATTCTCTCAAGCAGGTCACCTGATACCTCCATGGAGATATTATTGCTTTGCCTGGAATGTTCCATAGTATGGCATGAAACCATAGAGGCAAGCAGAAGATGTCTCCAAGGACCACATCAGATCTGTGAGAGGCTCACAGTAAGACGCATGTTTTAAAGAAGCTTGTGCCTGCTAAATAGTTATAATCTATGACAACTGATTTTGTAACAGTAAATCACAATATTGATCTAAAACTGCTTAGAAAAGAAGCAAGTCTGCTGATGTCCACATTAGACAAAGGGTCAGCACTAGTGAACAGTGGATTTTATTTTTTATTTTTTTCTAAATGCTATGTGTATCATCAATTATGAAAATAAAATTGGAGAACTAAGTGCAGAGCAGTGGAAGTGTACCAGTGGCAGTGAAAACAGGAGATGATATGCAATATGACGTCTAGACAATAAGTGATTAAAGATTTTTCAAATATGCACAAATAAATACAAATGCAACTTTGCGAGTGTATATGAGAAGGGGAAACAACTATAACATGCTTAAAAACCCTAAAAAGTCAATTTTGCATAATGGAGTTACTTTAATTACTTTTCCAAACACAATGGAACACTCACATAAATGCCGACAACTTGAGTAAATGTTTAATTTACTCAGGAAGCTGGGCGGTGTTAAATAAACAAGAAACAACAAGAGAGCACAGGTTTGCCTGACCCAGAAATTCACATTATATTCCACCTAATATCAAAAGCCAAATAGTCTCAGTGGCCTCCCATTTTCCCAATAGGTTCAACAGGCCTACTATTTAAGGAAAAAAAAAAAAAAAAATATATATATATATATATATATATATATATATATATATATATATATATATATATATATATATATATTTTTATATGGTTGTTTTTATTGAACTGTTCACAGTATGACATTAAACCTATTTCCATTTTCCATGACCTTAACAACTTTCAGTCAGTTATGCAGGCAACACGCGCACCCATAGAATGTTACACAGTGGTGCTTTAACAGTCAGTTCTGCCAGTAGCACACCACTTGTCCTGAAAAGTGAGGCCTGAGGGATTAAGGGCTAAATTAGTTAGCATTATGGCAGCAACTAATGATTTTTTAGCTTCAGTTAATGTTTATTGGTTAATCAATTCATCTTTAAAACGTGAAGGTCATGATTTAATAACAGCCCTTGTTCTAGTAATATGTTAGATATTATTAATACTATAGATAGGGCTGGACAATATAATATAATATAAATAATGTATCTTTTTTCTCCCTTGTGTTGATTGAGCTCCATTTTACTTTAAAAGTCTGTATTGTTATGAAGTCAATACTAAACGCCATTTTTTGTTTTGTTTTTGAAAAGACCAAATAATGTGTGCCACTGCCATATAATACAAAATAGGCCATAATGCATAATAATTTCTAAACTTTGCTCCAAACCATGAGCTTTTAATGAGAGGACTAGCTGTGGACTGACAAGAGCATCTCTTTAATGTTTTCTTGTCCCTGTAAAATAAACTAAGCCTATATATACTTCAAGGTCTTATATTACATAAATTGACCCCTATGAACTTTAAGCCATGTTATAATGCCGTTACCTCCTCAAAAACATACTCAGAGTTCTTTTTATTATTAGTCTGTCTACATCGCTCAAAATGCTTTGTTTCACCTTGTGATGTCACGTTGATCATGTGATAATTTTCAAGTTAAGAGAGCCCTTTCACCTTTAGTCCTGTAGGCTAGAGATTGACAATTCCAGGTCTGAAATGGTCCAAATGATTCGAATGAAGGCATACAGAGAACACAGTGGAGGACTTCCTGTATTACCACATGACATCACAAGGTGGACAGGGTGTTTGAGAGAAGGGCACAGACTAATACGCAGGGCTTGTGTGTTAAACATGTGTGAATGAAACAAAACACAACTCCAGGCATGTTTTTGATGAGGAAACAGCATTATAATATAAATTAGAAGAAGAAAAAAATTGTAATATTAGTAGTAGTAATAGACTCTTAAGTCCAGCATGGATTGACCCAGTTACTGCCACCCACGGGACAACACTATTGCCGCTTACCTGACCACCTTGACCAGCAAGCACACGACGAGCCCAGCGGTCATTACACACACGAAAAACACGCCCTTCTTCAGCGAGGGCAGGTAGGTCATGAGCGTGGAGATCCTGGAGCCCACAGCCGAGTCTGTGGCGTTGTGACCCGGCTGCAGCCCGTGCCCCTCTCCGCTGACGAGACCGTGGCTGGAGGCGGTGGAATTCAAGTGCGCTGCGGCCGTGGAAGAAGACACATGGCTCAACTCGGCACTGACGCACCACGTAAACGCTGCGATTACGATAAGTGCCAAATTGTGCGTCAACATTTTGCGGGATGATTATTACTGAATTGTTGTAGCTAATGCTGAAGAAATGCGAGTGATATGAAACAGCTGTCACATCTCAGCAACTCGAACGTGTTCAAAAATATTGCCCTTAACTACGCATCCACGTTCGTATAGATGGAAAAATAAACCCCCGTGCGTCGTAGCCGTGTTTCGGTACTAAATCACTGCGAAAAGGTGACTCTCCCGTAGTCCTGACACCAGATCGGTTTGGTGTTTGGTCCGCGATGGTTGTGGCGTGAGGGAGATGGAGGTGAGCTCTGCAGCCTCCCGAGTCTGCGCCCAGGACCCTGCTGCTCAGAGCGGAATGTGCGTAAAGGCGCGCTGACGTCACACACGGAACTCAAGGTGCGCAAGGAAAGCGCACGTTCATTAAATAGCCAACTAGGTAACAAAAGACGTTACATTCAAAATTTTGCACCGAATTTACCCATGCAATAATTATTTAATAAATTAAGATAAACTAAACCAACTCTGGACTTACAATAAACCAGGAATAAACCTCAGAATCAAAGCTAAGCAGATAGAAAGGTGCACTAGGTAAGTTTTCTAGTGGAGAATATGCAACATGTTTGTCTTCATAGAGATGCCATTGTTTTGCCTTGAATGCAGAGGTGAGTAGAAACTATTTTACTTAAGTAGAAATACAAAGCAGTAACTTAAAGAGTAACTGTAACTGGATGGACAAAACTAAATTATGCACAAAATCTAGTATTTTCAAAAGATAGACACGAAAATAAAGCAAACACATCTGAAGGAGTGGTGCAAGAAACACGAATGTTTAAAAAATGCCATATTGTCAACATAAATCTTTTGTCACTTGTAGACTTAATCACGCTGGGAAGAGGAACCAAAACTTTTACTCAAATGGGTGTACCATAACTTGAATAAAAATGCTACTCAAGTAGGAATAAATAAGTATCAATATAAAAGTAAATGTAAAAGTATGCTGCTAGATAAGTACTCTGAAAAGTACATTTTCTGTCATAGTTTACTCAAGTAAATGTAACCTCTGCTGGAAAGTCCATAGTATGTCATTAAACGATGAATCTCTGAAGTCCAGCTGACATCACCAGCCCAAGTCACTACGCTCAAGTCAACCCATACACAGTAAGAATGTTTTAATGTATTTTTGAGCAACAGAAATACCTGTATTCAAATAAATGCAAGATAGATTATGGTGCACCTTTATGAGGGGTTTAAAGGTAATATATTACTCAAAACTGACTGTGAACTTTGTGTCATGTTGAAATGTTGTTACCTCCTCAAAAACATACCTGGAGGTGTGTCTTTTTTCATTCAGACGTGTTTAACTAATCCTTTATTATTAGTCTGTCTACATCCCCAAAGCTCAGAATGCGCTGTTCCACCTCATGTAGTAGTTTTCAGTTCAGAGACTGGCAAATTCAGAGAAAAATGATTCACATGATTCTAGTGACATCACAAGTTTTTGTTTTTTTTCTGAGCCTAAATAGAAGTCCAGTTACGTTCGTGGTGAGGAAACATTATAGCATAGATCACAAAATAGCGTAATATGGGCCTTTTAACATTTATTTAATCTTATTTATTCTAGTTTCATTTGCATTCCACTGGGGAATAGAAACCATGCGTCAGTGGTTTATCCTATTGCGTCACGTGATTTCAAGTGTTTTTGTAAACCGCATTCCCGATAGCCCCACCATTATAGGACAGGGTCAGAGCAGCGTGCCCACCAGCAGGGGGCAGCACTGAGCCTCCAGGGAACGTCCACACAACTTTCACAGGCGCCAAGCATAAAAAGTAAACCAATATTCACAACCATTAAAATAATTCTGCTCTCAGTAACTTGCATAAAATTTAAACCAAACTAGTCAAATGGTCTAATGGCCACCACTTAATTTAGGCTACATACAAACACACACACACACACACACGCATACCCACACACACACACACACACCAACAATTACAAAGAACACTTTTGTTGTAAAAAAAATAATAAAATAAACATCATGATCAGCTATCTGTTTATAGAAGATGACGCAAGACTGACCTTTGGGTTAAAAAGTGAGTTATAATTACCAATCTGACAAAGTAGTTGAAGTCTTTTCCATCTGTGTTTATGAGCTTTTAAATGAACAGTATGTAAGATTTTTATTTTAAATTCCATAAACATGACCTAATTATGTTGAAGTATGAAGTAAACATGTTAAAATCAAATATAGCTTTTACTGAAAAGATGTTTATGTTCTGGTGTTTTGGATCTCAAGATAATCAGAAAACAGAAGGAGCCTCGCATGAGTCTCTCATATGGGTTGTCACTTTCAGTGCTGAATGTTTGTTTAAACCTAAAATGTCTTTGTGATCTGAATGGTCACTACCTAAACCCCCAGCACCTGCTAATGAAGTGCAGCCTCTGCAGCTCAGTGAGGGAATTCTGGAGGTTCTGCGCTTTCATATGAGGCATGGCCTGTCCACATGTATGTGACAATGAGAAAAACTTGTATGCATCCGCTATCAGCACGTTATGACACTGGCAACCCATGCTCAGTTGTGATTGTAGTAGGCTATCTTTTTTTAAAGAGAAGACTGATATCTGAACTGATAAACTACAACAAGAATCCAACATGCTTCAAACTACAGGTACAGAAAGACTTTTTCTAGAGAACATGTTTTTACTTTCCTGTAAATTGCAGCCTTTGAGATTTGATAATAGTACCAACTAAAATCACAATTTTGATTCCACTGCCGTGCACTACTTCTCTCTGAAAATGTTTAATGGTGTTATGATATTTGTGACGCCTGTTGCATCCTGGGTCATAATCATTTGAGTTACCTTCCCTTGTTTTAGTTGCTCAGTGTGCTGCAATGAGGCACTCGACTCAACATTAGGAAAAGATCGCCCTCTTCTGGTAAACTCCATAGCAGTCTTGTAATGGAGTAATAAAAGTGTTTACCCTCATCAAAAACAGGCGTGAAGAGTTTTTTTTATGTGTCATTTATGCATGTTTGAATGATCTTTTGATCTCTCCCAGGCCCTATTCTAACCCTTTATGGTTAACTGTAAGATTCAATGCTGTGCCCACAAGCTAACATGGCTATTTTTCATACATAGAAAAGAGCAGGATACAAAACAATACACTACAACTTCACAAACCTGATGTGATGTACAGTAATTTCATTGATGGCATACACGCTGATTGTGTTGTGATCATGCTCTGAAGGGGGAGCAGCTTAGCATGGGGAGCAAATGGAGGAGGGACAAAGCATCAAAAACTAAACTTATTAAACATGCTAACATAAAACATTGTTTTCTGTCAATGTAGCATTTTCAAAACAGTAAAAGATAACAACATCTAAATATGTGTTATGAGTTGACTGACATAAATTTGAAAAATGTCCATTATAAGGCATTGTAACAGCATGTTGTTGAATTGGAGTGACAGGCTGCAATTTGGTGCTAAACACAGTCTATTTTTATCCTAATGTATAGTTGGTTTGGCCCTGTTCTAGTCCTTGTTTAGTCCTTAGTTAGTCCTGGTATAGTCTGGGTTCAGTCCTGGTCTAGTCCTAGATTTGATGTGTTGAATTCAGAAGTGTGCTCACACCCTAAGATTCTGTAAATGAAGTCAGGAGGCTGCAGGTGCCTATTATAAGATTAAAGTGAGGATTTGGAGTCAAAGCACAAGTGGACATGAAATAGGCTCTTTGCACAGTAGCTCTAACATGGACCACATTTACATTTGGCCTCTGCAGTTATTTTAAATAATCGCTTTCCCACAACCAGTGCACCTTCTACAGGTCTGCTCCAAACATGTTGATGCTATAAGCAGACTAAAATATTGAAAAACATATCTGGACCTGTTTGGTGAGTTATCATAAACCAGAAAAACCTAAATCCATTGTTCTCCATCAAGATAGATATGTGTTATGTCATACTATGGGATATTATAGCTGAAGGAACAATATTTCCATGGAAACAAGGAGAAGGAGGCCCTGCAGCACGTCGAATAAGAGTCAGGTTTGTGGAGATGCAAGTCCACTCACAGTCAGGATGCAGGTTTCCATGTTTTTCAGTGCAAAAAAACATAGAAACATAAAAAAAAAAAAAAAAAATTTAAATAAATTTTTTGGCAAAAAAATTATAAATAAATAATAATAATAAATAATAATAGTATTGCTTTAATAAACAGTGTTTCACAAATTTGATTTAGTACAGTAAGATCTGGGAAACCCAAAGTGTGTCCTTTTGGCAAGACACTTAAATAACCTCACCCCCAATGTCTGTGTACACTGGTGTTTGAGTGTGTGTGTGTGTGTGAATAGGTGAGTGCGTTCCTTGTCATAAAGCATTTTAAGTGCCTTGAAGGAGGAAAAATGCTATCTAAATGTGATAATTCACCATTTTTACCATTTTCATTCTGCTCTCTGATGAGATTGAAAATCAGAACAAACAATATTTATATAATGTGAAATGCATTTTGTAACTGTGAAAAAAAATCAACAATTGTAGAATATCTGATATGAACAAGTTTACTTAATTTTTTTAAGGACACTCCTTTTTGCCAATATGTGCTTGTAATCAATGGGACAGTATAGAACAGTTCTAAAATATTGTACTACCACTGACCACCAGGAGTCAGTGTCTCTGATGCAAGCACCTCCCGTTATTTAGTTCTTCCAGTGAAGTGAAGTCTACCACAGTGTCTCATAACTGTGAGTCTCACTGGTACAGCAGACTTCTTCTGATCGCAGTTTTATTTCTCTTCTTTATTTCTCTTTAGGCCAACAGAAAGCGTCTGTAGAGGGTGACCAACACTGCACAAGACTTTACTGGCTGCCATGTGCCTTCCTTAACCACATTATACAACTCCCACTGTGTCAGCAGAGCGAGGACAATAATTAGACAATACACACCCTGGATTCCACCTGTTCTACCTGTTGCCTTCTGGCAGGCGCTTCAGGTCAATTCCAGCTTGGACCAACAGACTCAGGGACAGCTTCTTCCCCAAAGCTGTCACCATACTTAATGAGAACTGTTAATTTGTTTTATTTATTATTAATTCTTGCACTTTGACGGAGCAGCTCTGAATTTCATTATACTATTGTATAATGACAATAAAGGCTTTCTAGTCTATTCTATTCTATTTAATCATTTGAATTTAAAATATATATAAAACATACAGACTTAGATAAAATATATAAGCCTGTGTTCATTCCAGATGCCTTAGTCTGATTCTGGTACTACACTGAGTTTTATTATGTTTACAAAGATTCAGAAACCATATAGCCTTCAGATCATAGATAGGCCTTTGTGATCT